TACAGCGTCGGAGGCGGGGTCTCGTTCTTTCCTATGAGAGCTGCTCATTGGCGTATGAGGACAAAATGGCCCAACTTTTGAGAGAGCGAAACGTCACAGATTACCCATCATGCCTAGCTGTCAGAGCAGAAGAACCCGTATGCGCGCTCACAGAGCATGCGCCCCTTAAACCGAGCTGAATGGAGACGGAAAATAAATCTAGATTCGGCTTTTAGTGCATTTTACAACTTTAAGGACCGAATGATTCTAATAAGGGCTATCAAATAGTTCATACTGGGTAGTTTATTAAGTTTAAAAAAAAGTATCCGCAGATTTAAAGACGTCTCTTTCCCAATGTTAGGCAATGGGGAAAAGTCTTTCTGGGCCCAGTGATGTCAGGGACTGATACGGAAATTGTAGTACCGCCGTTTGGGCACAACGAATATTTTCATCAGAGTCCGGCGCACTTCCCGGGGGCTTGAGCCAGTCCCCAACTCCGGGGACTTCCGGCCGGGGACTTCGGGTGGCAGTATACGCCGTGAAGTTGTTTGCGGCCTGCCAGTAAACCCAAAGCAGAAGAAGAAGAAGTGACGTCAGCGGCTTCATTTGCCTAATCTTCCCTCAGGGACTTATTCCGGTGTGAACGCGATCTGCTCTTTAGTTCCATGGGGGAACTAAGTGCTGGGAACTAAGTACGGCAAAGTACTTGGTGTGAAAGCGGCTATACACACTCATCCATTCAACATCCATTTAATAATTGTGGGTTCTTGATTTTTATGGAGTAACACTGTTTGACCACATCTTTATTTTCAAAAATGTTCCCCTGCAGTATCTGTTTGATAATGGCCGTGTGGACGACGTTTTCTCCGATCAGTATTACACACGCTTCGCTCACAGTCTGCACCAGATCTTAGAGCCTTGGAGATCATCTATCCACCCGCTAGGTGAGAACAAAGAGTGTTATGCACATTTTTCTTGCATTTAAAAAGCCTGTTTCTTGGTAATCATATCAAATAATATTATCTCAGATAATATGCACAGAGACAAAACAGAAACCTAGCTTGTTAGGGGTGTCACCAATCACAATTTTTATATTTGTGTTTTTGGCACAAAACATTTACCAAGAAGTGTAATGCTTTTCTCAATGAAATTCAAATAATTAGATAATTTCTTGGCGGGTCTTCACAATCTAACTTTACCTATGCCAGGTTACATTATCCCCAGTCATGTGACGGAGGAGATGCTGTGGGAATGTAAACAGCTGGGAGCTCATTCTCCCTGGACGTTGCTCACGACTCTTATGTTCTTTAACACCAAGTAAGTTTCTTCCATCCTCACACATTAATCATACTGTTAAATTGACATCCAGTTATATTGTCCATTATATACCTCATAGAGCAAACCTTCATTTTAAGACAAGTAATTCTCAATCTACATATAAGCAAAATACAAATCTGCACAAGACACTCGTTGTCATTCCATACACTTTGGGATACCAATGAACACACACTGGCCAAATCAGTTAATGTATATACATTATATTTTCTCCAGGTATTTTCACCTAAGGACGGTGGAACAGCATCTAAAAGTGGCCTTTTCTAAGGTGCTGAGACACACCAGGAAAATTCCCAACAGCCCAAAAGACAAGAGCACCAGCATCCGATACCTAAAGTCAACAGAGAGGTTCATAGGACAGAAAGGTAAACTTTCACACAATTGAATTTGTGATTGAACCCCATGTTAGAATGGATTACAATTTGTATATTGCTTTTGTATTTGTCTCTGTTCAGTCACAGATGACATGTACTCGGAGCAGCTGGAGGACCCAGAGAACCCGCTGCGATGCCCCATCAAGCTCTATGATTTCTACCTCTTCAAATGGTAAAAATCTAAAAGTGTTTATCAGTAAATTGAACTGTATATTATGTGTTTGGAGGTGTACATTTGTTTTTATGTAATGATACAGGAATCAAACATTTCATCGCTTGTTCAACTGTATTAATCTAAAAAAAACTAGTAATTCTTCTTAGTGCTGCCATGTAGTGTTTTCACTCTGACCAAGGTTAAAGTTATCAGTCTACGATGAAAGCCAGAGTTTCTACTGCTAAATGATGTATTTGTTATTGACATGGGTTGTAAAGCACACGTTGCACTCAAGAGTTCAAGTGGTTTGAAATTGTGAAAACCTTGTTGCTAAGCAACTGACAAAAACATAGATGTTTTATAATAACTTCATTTTTCTCCTCTTAAACGGTGAAGGATTTTTATGTTTTCTGCCTCAACAATTTTCAGAAGAATAAGCAAACAAAATGATCTAGCCTTAGCTGCCAGCGTCCTTCACCACCTCTTAACAGAAAGAAATGTCTGAAAGTCAATCAATCATAGAACAATGCGTAAAAGGTTCAACAGCTATTTTGATTATTTCTTGCCATTCACATTTTATTTTTTTATGTTTCACATCATTGTATATATTTTTGGGGTTTGGACTGAGTCGGACAAAAAATGCAACTGAAGACTTAATCTGGACCTCTTAGAATCAGTCAGCAATTTTTCAGTTTTTGACTTAGTGTATATCACTTGATTAATATAGAATTAGTCGCAGCCCTGATGGCAATAGGACAAACGAAACAGTCTCAAACACTACAAGTAGGCCTGTCACGATAAATAATTTTGTTTGACGATACATTTTCCTGGAAATTATTGCGATAAACGATAATATTGTCGGCACGGTTGTAAGACCATTTTAGACCACTGATATAATGATAATATATAATAATAATTCAAGTACGTCCTTTCAAACATAACTTTTTATTGAACATTCAACATAGATATCTATATATATATTTATATATATGAGCACACATTGTCTCACAAGCAAAAAAAACCTCCTTAAAACAACAGTCAAGTGTACAGTCCACTGTCCATACAAAGACCCAGCTATACTAGTAGATTTCACGATAATATAATTTTGTTTGACGATACACTTTTCCTGAAATGTATTGCGATAAACGGATAATATTGTCGACGGTTGTAAGACCATTATAGAACCACTGATATAATGATAATATGATAATAATAATTCAGTACGTCCTTTCAAACATAACTTTTTATTGATCATTCAACATAGATATCTATATATATATTATATATATGAGCACACATTGTTCTCACAAGCAAAAAAAACCTCCTTAAAACAACACGGTCAAGTGTACAGTCTCCACTGTCCATACAAAGACCCAGCTGCCTCAACAGGCCATATCCAAATCTGTTCTTTCAAAAGTTTTCGAGCAAGGAACACCAACATGTTTACATTGTGCATCTCTGATTGTAAACTGTCGGGAAGGTGGGGGCTCTCCATCTCCAGCTGCCGTGTTTGCTCCCAGCTGGGAAAATGGGGTGGTTGTGTTTCAGGTGCAGTTTAAGGTTGGTCGTATTGCTAGCTTGTGTTGCTACCTTTTTAAAACAAATGCGACATAACGGCTCATTCAAGTCCTTAGGTTCGCCTCGTTGATTTGGCTTAAATCCAAAATATTCCCACACCGGAGATGTGGAATTAGCTTTTGCAACCAATTCCATGTAACTTCAAATTCCCCTCGAGTAAGTCACACGTTGTCTCCTGCTTGTCTCTATATTATTCATTTGGCTGCTACGCTGTTGCACGTGGAGTGTCCTGACTTGGCTGTGTGTGTGCCCCGCCCCTCGCGCCGCGCCGCGCCGGCAGCCACAGCCTGCCTGGCTAAAATGCTGGTCATATCCTTATGTAAACAAACACGCATGTAAACGGCAATTTATCGAGGTCAAAAAAGTTATCGAGTTCCTTTTCTATTTATCGTACGATAAGTCAATTAATTGCTTATCGCGTCAGGCCTAACTACAAGATCAAAAGCAAAACCATCATGAAAGCACAACTTTTTCAAGAAGCTCTCTATTTAACTGGCAGACAAATCTGATATGTTTGTGAATCAAGGTGTGCTCATGCTCTGTTCCCTGTGTCTCTGTCAGTCCGCAGAGTGCTAAAGGTCGCAACGACACCTTCTACCTGACTCCTGAGCCCGTGGTGGCTCCCAACAGCCCCATCTGGTACTCCACTCAACCAATCCCAAAAGAACAGCTGGAGCAGATGCTCGCCCGCATCACTGTCCTTCGGGAAATCCAGGAAGCCATTAACTTGTCTGAGAGTGTGCACTAGTTTGAGACTTATAAATGGACTAAACTCTTTCCTTTCTCTTCACCCAGCCTTTGACTGCTCATTATCAGTAGTTTTGTACTCTCAAACCCTCCTATGGTCTTAAGGGGTGGCATGTTTATAGTCATATGTTTCAGTGTATCATACATTCACGGACTGTACATACAACAGCTGATCATTTGTTTTATTGAGGCAATCTCTCGACCTTACCACATTTCTTTTCTTTTTGTTTGGCCAAAGGATGTAGTGTCCGATCTTTTAATTGGACCTAAACTCCAATTTACATTTTATTTTAACTGTTGGTTCTTTTAACCAATTGTATTTCCATGTTGTATTTTAATCTGTAGTATATGTCCTATATATTTTCACTGGGGTTGGCCTACGCTATGCTGCTCTACATTGAAACCCTGCTTTGTTGCTCTTCTTTCCCTCATCTGCCTTTGTCACAGTTAGGTGTCCCAGTGAATACCTCAGTGGTATTAGGACTGCATTATGTAGCCAAACATAGGCTAAAGGGATTTTTTTAAGTTTTGTGAATAATCCCTTTTTTTTTATATATTTCACTCATCTGTCTTGAGCTCAGTTCACAATACAGCAAACTCTGAAGATCACTCGCTTTTTAGTAATTGTTGCGTGCTGTTGGACTAGCTTAGGAGCATTGAATCACTTCAGCAAACAGACTTTATTGCAATACAGTCTCGCCGCTTGCCCTGCAGCTATTAGCACTTGCCACACGGTGGAGACGTAGAGGAAGGGCGAAGGATGTGACTTCTCCTGGATCCGCCTTTCTCTCTCCTGTCCATCACAAACTCCAAAACGTACCCGAGGAGGGATCTATTGTATCATACATGTTTATTAACCGACAAAATGAAAGACTCTTAAAAGAAAAAGAAGAGGGTTAGCCCTTTTATGTTCTATAATGTATAATGCTCATATAGCTCCTTAATGTACTGTAATGGGTTTCAGTCTTCTAAGGAGAAGGACAGTGCCTGTGTGTTTTTGAAACATGACCTTTTTTGTACAGCCACCATGTGTCTGCCTTTTTAGCAAGTCCGCTATACATTATGCATTCTTGAGTACTTATGTGTGATGTGAAATAATGCACAATGATTTCAAAAGAGGAAACTAAATAAAGTAATCCCGCAGCATCACTTGATCAATAATGGAGACAAAGATATAAAAACAGTGAATTGTTCAGCTAGCTGTACACCCTGAGGATCTAACTGTGTGCACAGGGAACAGCTTGATCATTGTGCTCTTGTGTTCTTGTGAATCTCCTGGTAATTCATTCACAGAACAGGTTTGACCTGTCTGGCATGTTACGCCCTTAATATTTACTTCTGGTCACGAAAAAAAAAAGTGCTGCGTCTGTGGTTTCTTTACCAGCATGTATGTGCATGTTGTCAGGCCGGTTTTCCACCTGCAGGGCTTGGTGTCACAAGCACAACAAGCTTTATTTCTGCAGTCCAATTCCTTCTGAGGAGCTGTATGAGGGCATGCATACCGCTGTTGTTTTTTTAACCCTTAGTCTTGTTTGTGTCTGTAGTATCGGCTGTACAGTTGGTGAGTTCAGAAGGCGTTTGATCCTGGATTAAACGATGAAGAGGAAGGCAGTAACCTCCTCAGTAGGTTCCCAGGGTTTAAGATCTGTTGCATCGCGGTCTGTGGTTGGTCTGATGGAGCTGTCTGTCGGTGATGATGATGTCTCCTCCCACCGCTGCTCCCCCGGTTAATATTTGAACTGGCTCCCTGAATTTGTGGCCTGCTGGGGAAGAAAAATAACCATAATTAAAATGTCATCTTATATCACAATGACTAATTATGCTGCCTGTGCTGAAATTTGATTTGGCTGGTGTGTTGGTGCTCATAGGGAGCTTATTTCTGTATTCTCACCGTGCTGAGCTCCCTCCACTGAGCCAGTGCAGCAGACACTGATGAATAAATATGTACTGCTCCTGAGTTCACACAAAGGAATGAAAAGGTAATGAGAAACTTGTGAGAACCAAACAGTAGAGCAAACTGTTAATGAGAATGGAGGATGGGGGGTTACCTTGGTTGGTGATTGGCTAATGGTTACACAAGCCAAAACATTGTTATGACATAAAGTGGCCAAAATCTGATCAGCTCATTTTCAGACAGGTTTTTATATAAACTTTCAGAATCTCAACGCAGAGGGAACACATATTTATGTATAAAAGACATGAAAAAGTGGATTTTGAATAATAGCTGACCTTTAACTATCTGCAAAATGTACAGAACTTTGTGATGGTTTGTTGCTGCTAATGCTTTGATACTTATACTTAGGTAACATTTTGAACTTTGTTGCAGTTACTTTTACTTATTTTAACACTGCAGGTGAGTAAACCACTGGATCACGACTGCACCGACCTGATTTTGGACCATCCACATTCGATGTAGCCTTAGGTCCTCCACAGCAGCCCGGACATCAGGTTTGATGCCCCTCGCACACAGCTGCATCAGCCACAACAGCGTCACAAATGTCCCTGAACGCCCAACACCTGCACTGAAAGACCATAATGCAGGATTTAACTTCGACATCATCTTAGATCCATCTGATTAACATGGTTGGTCAGTTATTAAATACAAATAACATGATTATTTTTGTAGTTTGTAATACTGGCATTTAATAGCAAGATTATCTGATCTGAAATATATTGAGTCACTTTTGGTTTATTTTAAAAATAAATTGTTGACAATATTGCACTTTATACTGAAAAATGGACACGGAAAATTGAGATCTCTTTTCTCTCTTTAAACATCTCAAAATGGTTTCAATGCAAATGAAATACATTTAGCATATTCAGCATTTACAGTTTATCATTTCGCTATTTACTTTTTTTGTAATCCAATAACATAATCCACATTATATGTAATCCATTGCTGCCAACTCTGGTTATTGATAAACCTCTGAAAGCTCTACATGGTAGACTGAACAGGGCACAGATTTTAAATAAGTCAGTAATAAGTTTCCTAACGAAGAGGGTGATGGGCTGGAGGTCTCACCTGCAGTGCACCACGGCCGGTCCCAGACATGGAATCGCTTCCATTTGCTGCCGCACATACTCAGTGAAGGCACAGAGAGAGGATGAGTCTTTAGGGATGCCCCGGTCCGGCCAGGCTGGGTAGTAGTAGTGTGTGATTAGCCTGTCAGTTGGACAATATCTCTGAAACACAAACACTTTCCTTCAACCCAAACACAAAGGCTTCTCCTTCTTCTTTGATTGATCACTGGTGTGGTCAGTGCACACACAAGTCCACAGCAGCACTTGAAAAGGTACCAAAGGAGATGATGGATGTTTCTTTTGCTCACCTGTCTGAGGTTAATGGTGGTGACAAAATAATCTGGACCCTGTTTACGGATCACTGTTGTCACTTGGATCAGTCCATGATAAACTGTCCCTTGTTGCAGAGACCAATACTTATCACACAGCACCTGCACACATAGAAATAAAGGTACTTTCAAACCACTAATTCAACAAGGTCCTTTTTTAAAGACTTGTAAGCTTACTGATAGTAGGTGTACGAAAGGAGTTATTTAGTATTTATTGGAAACTCGCTTATTCACTTTCTTGCCCACAGTTAGGTGAGAAGACTGAAACCCCTCACATTTCTTTACGGGAAATATGGAGCTTTAAGAAGTTTAGCTATAAAGACTGTAAAGAGGGAAGAACAACTAGCCTAGCTCTGTAAACAAGATTTAAAAAGCACAACCTACCAGCAACCTCAAAAGCTCACAAATGAAGTGTTTTGTATATTTGAAATGACTTAAACTCTGGAAACAGGTTAGCTTAGTCTTTATGCTAAGCCAACTACTTCCTCCGCTGTAGCTTCATATATTACCGTGGGCTATAGACAATTCCTTTAAAATAAGGAATATATATTTCATCTGAGGAGTCAGATGTTGGACACACACACATACACACACACACAGAGAGAGAAAGGGTCTTTCTCACTATGTCCTTGTGTTTCAGAGCTGTCACCATAACGATTATCCTGACGTTCTGCTCCCACACCATCCTCCAGAAGTCAGCCATGGTGTTGTTCAAAGGACCCTGGGTGCAGATAAAGTCTCTTTCTGAACCTCCTCCCTGAAAACAGACACACATGCATTAACAGATGCAGACAGATGTGCAGGCAGACTTACAGACAGTCTCAGAGGTGGTAACGCAGGAGGACAGAGTAATGAAATGACAGAGAAGGTGAGTGGATTCTTACAGGGACAAAGTTTGCGTTGATGTAGTCAGTGTGTGGTTGGGAGTTTTGGACTGACAGCCTCACGCGACAATGGTCATCTATAACCAGATGGAGAACAGAAAAAATAAGAAAAAGTCTCACACACTGCAACAAATAGATGATGTAATCTGTTGTAGTGTGATAATGTAGTTACTTACATGGCAATATGTAGGGGTATCTGTTCTTTTCTCTGTTTGCCTCTGAGTCCCCTGCTGTAATGGGAAGTTCTTTGCCAACTAAATCTAGCTCCTTCAAAAAGTCAAGGACATCAGAACAAATGACAAATATAATAGCTTTACAAATCAGAAATCTGATGCAAGGTCAATTTTTTTAACTCACCTCAAACTCCTGTTTAAAGCCTTTGTTGTCATTGGCTGCATGTGCCTGGCATCGCAAACTAAACTCCTGCACAATTTGCGCTCTTGAGAAAGTTTGCACCCTGTGAAATATAATTGTCTGATATTTAACCATTTTAAGGGCATTTATAGACAATATGAAGTAACCGGCATAGAAAAAGTAGACCTAATACAACTAATTGTAGAAGTGCGGTCTGTTTTTTTTAAAGACATCTTTAGTGATAAGCCTAACGGCTCTAAGACAAACTTGCATAATGTTTTGGTCTATTCATGGGAATCAGCCACACACTCAAAGTTCCAACAAAAAATGGTCACCTTACCTCATGTCTTCTTTTGCTGTCAACCTCGTACTTTCATTCGAAATTTAGCTGGACCTCCAGGTGCTGGAAGGTGCCAGTGTGATTTCAGTGTTGATAGAAAAATACCAATTCCTGTTAATTCAAGTAAAATGTTCTTTTAATTTGACATCAATAAATGTATTGGCAATTTATAAAGCAAATTGTAACTGAATAGCTCAGAACATTGTGTCAACCTCTTGTTTTCCCCTCCCCCTTTATGTTAAATATTTTCCTCCTGAGCAGAGTTATGTGAAAACAGAGGAACACACAGAGAAGCTGTATCACACATGTGAGGAAGTCAGTTGCCTTCATAAATGTATTTTTATCCATGCATACCTCATGTAACTACACTTTCTTTATAGTGGTTCAAAACAAAAAAGTTTTACATTGAATCTAATCTACAAACGTCTCCTCTTTTATATAGTAGAAAGGCATACCTGACAAGCACAACCCACATGGAACCCACACGGAACAATTAGTAAAACTGACCCGACAAGATAGAAAACCTGCTCCAACGAGTCCTCAATACACAACACAGAGTCCAAGCTTCAGTATGAGGGTTTCAGGATTACCTTTCCAAAGGGGCCGCTGGTAAATGGTTTAAACCTGAAGAGAAACAGGACAGTAATACACTGCTCCAAGTCATCTTAAGGTTGTCTGGTTTTAATAATACTCAACCCTTTCCCTCTTTCTCCCTCAGGGCAGGGAAGGAGGAAGTTGAGTGGCGACAGTGGGTGGAGAGAGAAACACTAAACCTCTGGGAGGGATGGCAGTACATGATGTTATTAGATACTCTTAGCACTGACCAAATGTAAAGTAACTCTAACTGAGGCTCTGAGAATTAAACTCATGTTTATTCACACTTAAGGTGTTTACTAATACAGTAGACATTTGTGTCTTGTTTAACACACAGCTGACACAATGCATCAGTCTGTTGTCTACACAAAATGGGATAAAATGGCACAAAGCTATAAATGAAATATTTTTCATAGATTATTGTTCAATTGTGTCTTATTCTCAGTCTAGATTATCAGCACTTGACGATTAAAGGTTAGAACACCTGCCTTTTCGATTAGTCAGTTCGTTGTGACACTACAATGCTTTTTTTTATTTTAAAATCATTGTGGTTTTGTTTTCATTTTTATATGTCTAATTCCGTAGGAGCATGTCATCATGGACATTCGAATAGACTTGCAAACATGTTAGATTTTACAAAACAAATATCTTGAAAAGGAAAATGTAGCATGCATGTCCCTCCTTGGGAGCTTTGAAAGGCGCCCATAAATAAAATGCATTATTATCATGAATAAACAAATTCAGGCACTGTCAAATCACAAAAGCGACAGGTTTAATCATCTAAATGACAAGAAAATACTGTATTGTGTGATTAGTGTTAAATTGAATATGTAGTCTAATTCATGTATTATTTATTATTATATGATAATCCAAGGGCAAATTGTCTATTTTGTGACAGAGGTAAATAATTCTGAAAAATGTTTTACTATTGCAGCATTATTATTGGTGTCTAATTTGTGAGATAAGGAAATTCCCCTGTAGCCTGCTATATTTTTCACAACACAGATATTCATTTTACATTACATGTTACTTGTTAGACGCTTTTATCCAAAGCCACAAAGCCACATACGCAATACTGTGGACAATCCCCAAAGGAGCCATTTTGGGGTGAAGTGTCTTTCCCAGGGACACAACGACATGCTGACTGCAGTGGGGTTTGAACCTGTGACCCCCTGTTCCGAACACCTACACATAACCCACTGCGCCACATGCCTCCCTCATATTTTCACAATAAACCACAGTTGGAAATAATCTGCATAATGAGTACTTTTACTTTTGGTAGTTTAAGTACATTTTGATGCTAATGCTTTTAAACTTTTCTTGAGTAACATTTTGAATGCTGGACTTTTACTAGTATCTAGGGGCGGTTCTAGGGGGGGCCAACATTGACTTTGGACCCCCCTGAAAAAAAATAAAATAAAAGAGTTTATGATTAAACGATTTATTGGCTGACGGAATAGGCGGAACTCACAATATTTGTCATTCTAGTCGGACCCATTAGACCAGGGGTCTCCGCGTAATTTCCACTGGGGACAGGGGGGACATGTCGAAATCCTGTTTCCCCCACTTTATAAATATGTTTAACGCAAGCCGTCATCGCCACGGAGGAGCACACAGCATCTGTGAGCGAGTGAGACAGAGAGAGTGAGAGAGCTAGAGAGAGCACACCTTTATCTATTTAATATATTTGTAAAAAATAAAGGAAGAAATCCTTCCAATGTGTACTATAAGACAGTAAAAAAAAAAAAAAGGTTTAAAAGGGGAGTGATTATTAAAATATGCATTAATAAAAAGAAAGAATGCTAACTAAACTATAGGTAACTTAAGATAAGAATACAAAAGTTTAAATGATTTGTTATTGGTTGTGATCATATAAGATGTTTGGATTATTGAAAAGTATACAGCTCCCTTTCATATAAGTGTTGAGAACTATATCCATAAATTCATTTTGTGCTCAAAGTGCACCAGATTGATGCATTTAACTTCAACATTTAAAAAAAAAGGATACGATAAGTCAATTTATCGATTATCGCGACAGGCCTAGTATTGCATTGTTTTCTTATGCGCAATTACTTCATAATGTCTTTGTCTTTTTCGTCCTGCATTTATTGTGCCCCCCTCAGAAAATAACTGGCCCCAGCCTGGCCCCCCGACTCAAATTGGTCTAGAACCGCCACTGCTTGTAACAGAGTATTCCTCCACACTGGTACTTCTACTTTTACTCAAGTACAAGATCTGAGTAGCCTACTTTTTCCACCTCTGCTTGTTACAGAATATTTTTACAATTTAGGATTGCTCCTTTCACTTAAAGGTGGGGTAGGTAAGTTTGAGAAACCGGCTCGAAATACACTTTTTGTTATATTCCATGGAATGCTCTGAACATCCCGATAGCAATGAATATCTTAAGCGCTTTGACAAAAAATCCATAAAAAAATTTAATCTGTGGAAGCCGTAGTGCTGTAGTGGAGCTAATGCCTGATCACAATTCTACCGGAGATAAAGTTAAATTCTGCTGTGATAAAACCCCATCCTGTTCTAAACCACATCAAGTATTATTTCTGAAACAGTATGGAGCTCAAATGAGTTTTCTCTTGCGGGTTTATCACAAGGTGAGTTCCTTTTTTCATTTCCTGCTTTTTAAACACATATGCTCTACATCAGGGGTTCCCAACCTTTATTGTTCCAAGGACCGGCAGATACATTAAAAAAAATTCGCGGACAGGTTGTCAATTTGAACTGATTTGAATATTTACTCACAAGCAGGTGGCAACAGAGGCTAATTGTATTTAACAGCCTGAAGAAATACCAATATGCATCCAAAACATATTAACAACGTTTAAAACCTGGATACAATTAAAACAAAAAATTAGGACCGCTTTACAAATATTAATATAATATATAATATAATATAGCCTAATATAGGTGGCAGGGCCGGCCCTGACCAATTTTCTGCCCTAGGCAAGATTTTAGCTGGCGCATCAAAGAATCAATCTGGTGCCCTTTGAGAGCAACATTAGGAGATCTATGGATACATCTCTCAACACCCATATGAAACAGAACTGTAAGCAGATTTTCTTTTTCTTTATGGATATTTTACAAATCACTCCCCTTTCAAACTGTATTCTTGTTTATTAATAACAACTTTTTTTTAAGGTCAAAGAGTATTTTATATCTGTTTTTCATCTATTCTCTTATTTTTTATAGCTATAATGATCATATAAAGGTGTGCCTTTGCCTCACTGAGCTGAGGTTATCAGAGCCGCTCAGTCTTTCAGGAGAGAGCTCTCTAAAGCTCTCCCCCCCACGGACACTTGCACAGTAAATTCCAATGTTAATAAAAGCACACAGAAGCTGTATATTTTTTTTGGGAGTTTGATTTATTTTAAATTAAGACAAATACAAAATTAAAACCTATACTTGCACACTAAAACCATTATTTCAAAAAAAGAAAAATTTCACATAAACCTCTGGTTTTTACTGGGGCAGTTCAATTAGATTTTTTTTGGGGGGGGGTTGCTATAGTTTATGGGCGCTGTATGCAATATATGCGTAGTTCTGTTAGTATAAGATAATAATATGTACTTTGTTGATCCAAAATTGGGAAATTGTGTTTTAAAAATGTAAATTAAAAAAAATATTTTTTTTACATTTCTAACTTTTTTTATTTTTCTTTCTCCCCAATTTTCGGCGCCCCCTATAGGTTGATGCGCCCTTAGCCTTCGCCTATACTGCCTATGCCGAGGACCGGCCCTGATAGGTAGCAACAGTGGCTAACTGTATGTAACAGCATGAACAAATAATAGAACAATATGCATCCAAAACATATTAACACAGTTTAAAACCAGGATACAATTAAAACAAATTAGGATCACTGTACACATATTGATATAACTGAAATGTCAGTGAGACCCCTGGGCTTGTTTGCCAGCAATAATAACGTCATACCGTTGCGTTCGTTCCGGTGCACTCCGACAGCATTTAGCACTACATCGAGATAAGATTAAACTAATTT